TGATAATGACAATTAATATGACGCATTGACACTTTATTATAAATATTGAATAATATTATATATTATTATAATAATAATAATAATTATTATTATTATTATTATTATATCGACACGAATAAATGATAGGCCTAATAAAATTCATATAAGTATACAAATTAAAAGTAAACAAATTTGTTGCATTATATATATATATATATATATATATATATATATATATATATACATTTATAAAAATTCTTTAAAAAATTAATTGTTCAACGGTATTAAAAGAAAAATTGCTTTCGAGAGTACGATGGCTTTTATTATAAAAGTTAAGTCTAGATATTTTATTTTGCTTTCTTTAATTTTTTTTTGTTTTTTTGTTTTTCTTTCTTTTGTTTTTTTTTCTTTCTTTCTTTCTTTCTTTCTTTTGTACGACATAAAAGTGTTCGCCGAATAATATTACAAATTTCTAAAGAAATAAGAAAGAGAAAGAAAAATAAAGTAAAAGATAGAGATGGAGACAGAAATAGAGAAATAAAGAGAAAAAGAGAGAAAGAGAGAGAGAGAGAGAGAGAGAGAGAGAGAGAGAGAGAACGTAAGAGAAGGTCGATTGGCATCGAGGAAAAAGTAGAACTATTTCCTTCATTTTCCCGCGCTTGTTTTTACAGAATGTGTGCGTGAGAGAAAGAGAGAGAGAGAGAAAATCGAGCTCGTCGGAACAAATGCGTAAAGGTCTTAGAGCAATTTACCGTAGTGTTGCAAGTGCTGAATCTCTTCCTCTCGCCGATGCAATATCTACCGCCATTTGCTGGCACTGGCTTGTCGCATTCCCTCTCAGAATATTTAACGCCACCACCGCAAGTCCTGGTACAAGAACTCATAGGACCCCATGCTCCCCATCCACCGTTCACTGCTGCAGGACGGGAACCCATATCCACGCATTTCTTGTGAACACACCACTGAAAATGTAAATGTAAAACTATATTTTTTTTATTCAATCATCCAAATTTTCTTTTTCCTTTACTTCTCGTATCTTTTACTTATTATGTATATTCACTATTGCACTATACTTTTCTAATGTTTTCGTCGATGTTTTTCGTGATTTTGTTTTTCTTTTTTTTTTCTTTTTCTTTTTCTTTTTTTTTTTTTTTCTTTAGAATACTTTTTCATGTCTTTTGATGAGAGAGTGGGAGTTCTGTTTTGTTTTTTCTTGTTTCCTTTTTTCTTTTTTTTTTTTCTTTTTTTAATTTTATAACAAAACGACAGAAACATTTATGAAGGATAATTTCCTCGTCATATTAATTCACATTATTTGACATGAACCTCATTGGAATTTACAGTTCTATTTTACTTGATCAATATTTTTGTTAATTACAATAAATTGAACGTCAGTGTTACGTGACTTATATATTATCTACCGATGTTTCATTATATACATATAAGTATAATAAATAGTGATCATTTATTTGAAATAATTATTTAAAAAAAATGTTAAAGAATATTGATCGAATAACAGATTAGAGCACAATTCATGACTTATTGACGTATTATTTAAGAAATTGATATTTCTATAAATATTTCTATATTAATTTCAATATTTAGAATGCAATACGAACGAATATACGAACGAGTATTGAATATTGACAAATATAACGATAATTAAAAAGAAAAAATATAAAAATGAAAATAACCATAAAAACCTATTATTGATCGTATGCGTATAAAAAATTAGAATAAATTACATTGTAAAAAATATTGATCGGACGAATTAACAATTTAGATTATAATTAATAAATCATAGAAACGTATTATCTAACAAATTGAACTTCGTATGAATAATTTTAACTTAAGTATATAAAATTAAATTTAAACTTCGAATATTCGTATTGTATTTTCTTATTGATAAGAAAATTAAATAATACATTTAAATATAAAAAGAAAAATATTCGTGAACTATCGTTAATCGTATATGAAAAATATAATCGTATATGAAAAATTGAAATAAATTACAATGTACCTTGTTCTCGCCGCACTTCGTTCCGTCGGCTTTCGGAGTACCAAGGGAATAACAACTTGAGTTGGTCAAACACCAAAGAGCGGAACAATCGCTGAACTGGAATATAGTTATGTAAGCAAATTGACAAACCAAGAATAATCGAATCAGTTTTAAAGGAAGTTGAAACACAACGAGATTGTTATACGTCTATGCGGCAAGACGTTCCAAGTGAAACATAGAGATAGATATAGAGAGCTAGAAAGACAGAGAGAGAGAGAGAGAGAGAAAGAGACAAGACAAAGTTTCAGGTAATTTCAAAATTACCTGACGTTTGTATAACGTTATGGAGGAAATTTCAAAGTTAGTGATATCGCGCAATCACTGATGTTGACGAACACATGACAAAAAAAAAAAAAAAAAAAAAGAAAAAAAAAAAGAAAAAAAAAATTACCCTTCCATCGTAAAAAATTTTTCCGTTTGAGAGATTAAATTCAAAAAGAAATTACGAATGTCTATTTCGACGAATCGAAAAGAGAAGGAAAGAAGAAGAAAAAAAAAACCCCACAGTAAATATTTCTTTCGTTGATCAAAGTGAAAAATAATTTCATAAAACGTTGACGTAATTTAAATAAACAAAAATAAAATAAAACGGAACAAAAAAAAGAAATGGGAATGTTACCTTACTAGATTGGCAAGTCTTAGATCCAGGAAATTCCATCTGACATTGAAACTCAGAACCATACATGGCGCCGGGTAACATGTTAGGATAAGAATATTTTGCTCCAGGACTTCTTGGATCGTCGTTCAAACAATCTGCAAGGCCGCTCCTTATTACGTAACATTAATTTTTTTTTTGTTCCTTTTTGTTCTTTTTTTTTTCTTTTTTTAATCCTCAAAGCGTTCAGTTCGAAATATGTCCTTTGTGAAAGTATCGATTATAATAAAAGGATGATCGACTTACTCCAAATACGATGTTATAAATCTTCTACTACAGGTCGACCATCTGATTGTAAAGATAAAGACAACGGGTGACATAATAAAGAAACTTCCATCTTTGTCTTCCTTCTTACAGCCACTTATTTCCTCGGTGTCGTGAGAACAACCCATTCTAAAAGAAGAAGAAAAAAAAAAAAAAAAAGGTAAATATATGTGTATTTATAAAAGGATATTCCAAAAGATATGGGAACAAACTTATATTACGTATTATTGATGTGAAATTAATGAAAAAAAAAAAAAGTTCATATAAATTTATACTTTATTGAAAAGATATTATTACTTTTCAAAATTTTTTATGTGTTATAAGAAATGTTTGAAAATTCTTTACTCCTGCAAGAATACAAACTACGAAATTCGTCGAATTAATAATTGACGAAATCTTTCTAATATTCCAATTCTATTGAAAATAATAGTAAATGCATTTTGAATACATTCCTTATGTTCATCTTCCATTTCTATCGTATTTTTATAAACCAATTTTCTTTTGTGTGAGTTCATAAATATTTAGAAGTCCCGAGGAAAAGAAAAAAAAAAAAAAAAAAAAAAAAAAAAGAGAAGAGTTCGGAGCAATCGTCAATTCGACGAATGGAAATAAATCGTAAATATCTTTAAAAGGTATATATCTTTTTAATGAAACATTTTTTAACTTAAATTTATATGAACTTTTTTCATCTATTTGACTGTCAATAATAGTACGTAGTATAAATTTGTTCCCATATCTTTCGAACACTCTGTATATATTTGTGTTTATGTGTGTAGATATTTGTTTGTGTGGAATGGAGGGGGAGGCGGGTGGAGGGGGGGGGGGGGTTGGAGGGAAAATAACTAAATATATGTATTTCTCTTTAGCTATCCATCGTAGAGATTGACGTACACGTGACCGACTTCATGTGCTATCACAACTCCAAGCAACAATCCGCTATCCTCGTTGATGCAAGCAGCTTTTGACGGATCACAGGCAGTCGCAACGAAAGCAAGACCCATCAAGTCGCAATTGGTCCCTTCCGAACAAATGTCATACCTCAAAGTTTGGATACAAGATAGAACGATAAAACGATAGAAAATATTATTTTGTACATTTATATATATATAAAAAGAAAACGTATTATATCGGTATCATATAGTAGTATATCTGTATTACGTGAGTCACATAACGTATATAAGAAATCTAACAGCATTGTCATTGATTATTTATTTATTTATTTTTTTTTCTTTTTTTTTCTTCTTTTTTTCCTTTTTTTTCCTTGAAATCATTCGATTTGTACTCCGAACTGGTTTATATATTGAATTTCTACGTGACTTATTTGATATAGCTAACGTAATGAATATTGGATGATCTAGAGAATATATTCCGTTTTTACCTAGTCACGAGTACAGCAATGTCATAGTGATTAGGATGTTTGTGATCTTTCGGATTCACTTTCTCCGCCCATTTCGCAAAACTGTCCAGAGTATCCTCGGCCGCCGGACTTATTAGCAAGTCTATCTATCGTCGTCAAGCGATCGAAAAAGAGAAATTATTAAGAGATAGAAATATCAAAATCAAATCATTCTTTTTATTTTTTCTTTTTTCTTTTTGTAAAATTCATACAATACGATACGATTCGATTTGAATAAAGTAAAAAAAAAAGAAAAAAAACGAAAGAAAAGCATCTATTTACTCGTAAAAAAGAATATAATATATATATATAAAATTTAGTATAACTCATATATATATATATATATATATATATATATATATATATATAAAATTAAATATAATGTATATATGAGCTATTTATTTTGAAAGTGGCCTAACTCCATTTATCTTCAAATCGAGATATTTAACGGTTTGCGTTTCAATGAATTTAAAAATATACGTATAGGATACAAATGAGTTATACTACTTAAATGTATCTAAGCGTGTTAAATTTATAGTTCCTATTAAGACAGTAGCAATTATTAAGTGAATAATATGCGTTTTCTTATCAAGAATGGAGTTAGGCCACTTTCAAAATTAACAATCAGATTCATTATAAAATTTGAAGGTGCCCAAGTCCATTCAACATAATTTAAGATGCTTCAAATTGAAAAAAATAATACTCAATTTATTTTACATATCTTTAAAACACTTCGAAAACATAATTTATGCGATTCAAAAGATTTTTTAACTACATAACGTACAAAATTACAAACATAAATTTATTACAAAACAATTTACTACTCATCTAGATTTTGTGTGTGTGAAAGGGATTTAAAGAAATCATGATGTTCCAGTGATATATATCGTAATAGGTCAATTATGTCTTTGAATTTTGCTGTTGTAATTTGTCCGATATTTTTATACAGTGGTGTCAATACAATATTTTCGGACTCTCTTGGTCTACCCCGACGTGATAATAAATTCAGGACTTTAAAATTTTCATTTTCTTTCGTTGATTTAAGTATAAATGGAGTTAGGCCACTTTCAAAATAAACGGTTAAATTATTGAACTAACTCTGAAAGCTTATGTGTCAAGAATTATCGTATTTACGCGGAATATAAGCAACCTGAAATGCTTTACTGATAAATAAGATAAAGTTGTACATGTAATTATAGCAACCGGAAAAAATTGACAAATGGAGTTAGGCCACTTTAAAATAAACGGCTCATATATATGTATATATATATAATATAAATTTAAACGTTACCTCTTCCTTTTCCTTTTCCAAATAAATAATACGTACGACAACGACGTCTATCTGATTGCCGCTAGAACTGTCATGATAATAATCCGATACCATATTCATGATCGTTAACAAGTATTGCTCGTAATTAGTGTTATTGTGAAAATCAAGAAATCTTCTGTCAGCTATTAAACCGATTTCAATGAAACGATGAATACTGTGAGTGCCCGAGGTTGCTGTAGCACGTTTCGATCCCAAAGTATTATTTCTTTCTATTCGTCGTTGTAACTTCGCCAGTTGTTCAGCCCATGACCTTTCCCAGTCGTCTGGGGAATAATTTATCCGTGAATATTTTTTTCTTTTTTTCTTTTTTCTTTTTTTTTTCTTTATACTCAATCCGATCGATCGGATCGAGATCGGATATAACACGATTCTTTCTAAATCGTGTAAGTAAAAAATATTCTACGATGGATTTACTTTCACTGAACCATATATATATATATGTATATGATAGTATATTACGTGGAATGAGACACACACACAAACACATATATATATCTCATTCCATGTATTTATTTTGTATATTTAAAATTATTATAAATGTTTAATTCTTATAAATTGTAGTTGTTATAAATGAGATATATTGACGATGATAAGAAAAATATTAATTCTGATGAATTTTGCAATTATTTCTTAATTAAAACTTTCATTTATTTCGTCAGTATATTTTATTAATTAATGAAAAAGATTTTGGTAAAAATATGATAAATATATTTTGAATAGGTATAAATAATTAAATGTCATGGTTACATCACTTATATTACATATTGATATTTTATTATAAATACTGACGAAACATTTAAAAATACTAATGAAATAAATAACAATCGTTAACACTTCGAAACATCGAATTTTATAAAATATAAATGTCTCGATGTTGCACGAAAATAATATTCTTATAAAAGTTAATGAAGTAGATTTAATTTCAATTATCAGTGAATTTATATATTCGCGTAACTTGAAAGAAAAGAAAAGAAAAAAAAAGAAAAAAAAAGGAGAAAAAAGAATACGAAAAATGCAAAAGCAATTTAAACGTTAAATTATTATAATATACGTAGATCAAATTTACGAACTAAATTAAATAGATTTAGGATTAAACGTGAATCACTGTTGCTTCGAGCATTGTAATAATAATAATTTTGTCCAGACGACGTAAAAAAAAAAAAAGAAAAAACAAAAAAGAAGGAAAAGAAAAGAGAAAATAATAATATCCCAACATACACATTTAGATATTAAAAAGTTAGGATAGTTTTAAATGGTTGCCATGCAGTCAGACGTTTCAAAGAATTTATATTCAAATATAAAAACTTAAAGAATTAACTACTTATTAAAACAAATATATATATATATATATACATATAAACTTAAATATATATAAATGTAAAAATGAAATATAAAAATATAATATAAAATATGAAAAGAAAATATAAATATAAAAATAAGACGTTTGAAAATAATAATTAAAAAAAAAAAAAGAAAAAAAGAAGAAAAAGAAAGAAAGGATTAAATCAAAATATAAAAATAATGTTTTTCAAATGAACGAACCTTTGGTTCCACAATGTCCTTTCGTTGAATCCTTTCCATTGCTCTGTTTTTCATGTGGCGCATCTCTCTTATAAGCAATGTGAACATGCTGGCCGTCCAGTTCGGGCTTGACTTCGTTCATCGGTTCGATAAAGTATCGTCCGTGATTAGTTTGCACGTAACCAGCCTGCACGCGATCGACGTGTCATGTTATCGAGTTGCCCGATATAATAACCGTTATTAGAAATAAAAAAAACACGAGTATTTCGAATCATTCGTTTTTCAACGTTAAACGC